GGGCATTTATAAGAAAGAACAAGCCTCTGTGTCATTTATTGGGGGCTGGATGGCAGGAAACAAAGAGAAAAGAGCCAAAGAGTGAAGAGTAAAAACAACCAACTACAGGTGTCTAATGAATTATGAGGAAACTGAGTTCAGCATCACTGGACATTTAGAAACAACTTAACAAAGTGGTGACCTGGTGCTCGTGGGGTCCCAGCAGTCATGACCGGGATAACCCTTTGCTGTCTTCCTCGGAAGTCCATGGCCAGGGTTCTCTCGTGATTCCCAGACATCCAGTTCTCTTAGCTTGTACATAAACCACAGCCAGTGCTTGTGGAATGAGGGGTGAGTTCATCACACCGACCCAGAGCCAGGGTTATTTGAGGTGAGGTGTGTTTTCCTCACCAGCAGAGACTGCAGCTGTGGCCCAGTGGCCCAGTGACCGCTACCCACTTCCTGTTCCTCCTCACAGATGCACTTGAAAGTCAGAGATGAGAAGCCCTGTGCCTGATACTCTACCGAATGTGTTACCCGGGCAAACCCTGACCCCGGAGCAGCTGGGAGCCTATCTACTGTCTCTATGGAATAAACAATATGTTTTTCCATGTCCATGAAAAGGAGGTCCACTTGACAAAGAACTGGAGGTCAGGTTAGGCAGGAAGGCATGGAGAAGCGTTCTAAGATTTCCAGAAAAGTCATAATTAAACTTGTAGACTCAGAAAGAAGCCTCAAGCCCCCCTTCTGCCCTGAGTATTGAGAAAGCCTCATTACCGTGAACACCCGGTTACAGTTGTTTAACGTGGTCTTTCTCTGACAAGCATACTGGGAGATCTTTGGTGCAGTAGGTGGTGGAGCCTGGGTGTTCTGGGAGCCTGGGGCATGACTCGGGGAAGAGTTTCTTCTCACCTACACAAAAGCATAAGCATCCATTTTGAATGACAATGCCAATCATTAAGTGTACATAACTATAAATATTTGCTTAAATATAAAGAAAAGATTTACTTTAAGACAATTTGTGGAAATTATCCCTGGAAGAGGGTAAAATCGCAGAAGACTCAAAATGTGTCACACACATCTCTAGTGTCCTATCATAGACATGTACAATTGTTCTTTTTATTAGTATATATTAATTACACCAGATAATGAATTTCACTGTGACATCTCATTGGGCTGGAGAGATGGCTCAGAGGTTAAGAGCACTGGCATCTCTTCCAGAGGTCCTGAGTTCAATCCCCAGCAACCACATGATGGCTCACAACCATCTAGAATGAGATCTGGTGCCCTCTTCTGGCATGTAGGCATAAATGCAGGCAGAACATCATATACAAAATAAATAATTTTTTTGAAGTTAAAAAACAATAATTTAAAAAAAAGTAGTTCCCATCAATTTGGTACTTTTAACATGTCAACACCGCGTATGATGTGTGTGTGTGCCACTTCAATTCCCATGCCATCTAAAGAGGTGGGCATGATTGTTATATGACAGAGGAGCAGACGGAAGCCCAGCAGAGCTAAGTGGACTCCATGAGAAAAGAGTCTGGAATCAACCCAAGTCTGTGGATTCTGACACCCAGGTCCGTGGCCATCCAGCAAAGGACACGCTTACAACAAGCTGGTGTCTCCCTGTCATCTCCACCGGTTTCCCAGCTCGCATGCATTCAATCAGCCAGGAGACGTCGAGGAGTTCAAGCTGGGAGCTGGCTTTGATGTTCTGTAGATGGAGCCACTCCAGGACATCTGAACCTGAGTTGTTCTCTGCCACAATGTGGGTGACAGAATCACTAGAAGTGGAAGGCAAAGTCATCAGTAAAAGAAGCTTCCAAAATGAGATATTCTCCTCCCTCTTCAAGGTTTCAGAGTATCCCAGCTAATTAAAGACAAGGTACACACTGGGCTTGACTCATGGATCTTCACACAGTGAATGACCTCTCTTAATTAGAGAAACAGCAATGGACTACATCCGAGGTTGGATGCATATCTATCTATTCTATCTATCATCTCTCTATCTCTCTATCTATCTATCTATCTATCTATCTATCTATCTATCTATCTATCTATCTATCTATCTATCTATCTATGATATTAGCAAGAGTCATGTAAAATAGAAATTAAGGGAAGATGGAAAGTGAAACCGTCCTTAAAGTAGTGCCTGGCAGTGTGCAGGTAGTTTTGGTATATGATTTCATTTTTTCTCATGGAAGACTCTAACCCAGTAGTTTTCAAATTTGTCTGATGAAACCTGAGTTAAAATTTTTGTATGAGAACCCAAAGTTTAAAGAGAAATAGGTGTGAATGTGCGTGTGCCTGTCTGTCTGCATCAGGTGGAGGCGATAGAGCAAAATGCCTTAGATGAGGCTCTAGTGGCTGAGAAGTCCAAAGTCAAGGAGGGCTCACTCTTGACAAATGGCACAGAGAAATATGGGACATTTCTGGATCTTAGGAGCCTACACGAGACAGATGGCTAACGCCTCTGAACAGACAAAAGGCCAGGGTGAGATCTGGGTGAGATTTAGAGAAGGAACAGAGCTTGGGTGGGTTGAGAGCGGCCAATGGGAGCTGTCCTGAGTGAAGGGGCTCAGCAGTCAGGGGACAGGAGAAGACTGATGGGATTTATGGGACTGGACTGGTAAGTGTGTGTTAGTTGTAGACATGGCTGAGTCAGTAGTGGCAAGGGTCTTAAATGCCTTGTTCGGGAACTTGGTTCTTCTTTTCTGGGGATGTCAAGCCAATGAAGACTTGTGTAAGCAGGGTACCAGTAGTGTTAGTGTGCCATTTCTAAAAGCTAACCTGATCCACACAATGCTTTGGAAGGGAGAGAGCTGGGGTGGGGATATGTAAGGAACAGCAGACGAATTCCTGGAACACTTGAAGAGAAAGCAAAAGAGAAGCAGACGGGTGCCTAGCAAGAGCCCCCTGGAAAAGGTGGAGAGGGGAACTATGCCATCCACACAGGAATCACAGGGCAGCAACAGCCCTGCTGGTGAAGACGGAAGTTGCATCCCTAGCGGAGAGGTGGAGACCTGGAACTGAAGCTGCTTCTGGTGTGATGCTTTCTGGATGCACATCAAACTGAGAATATCTGATTGACAGGCCAACTTCAGGCTGCTGTCACAAGACAGGCTGGAGGTTGGAACTGAGGCCATTTGGGTGACAGAAGCAAGCTGAGGTCAGACAACATTTTGTAGGGGCCAAGGCATAACAGGTGACTACGTCCCTAGCTTAGGCCCATATAATTCCAAAAATTATTTGTAATACATTTCTTGAAAGGTTCTTAACATCAAAATTTCAAGGCAAAAACAAAAGAACTAGTCAGTTCATAGAGGAGGCTTTAGTCCATCCACACCTCTGCCTTCAGAGGGAGTTTTTCATAATACATATATGTGCATATATATAATATTATTATACCTGTTATATATCATTATTTGTTATAATATTATTGAATAAACAGTGATACTTATAGTAATGGAATTTTGCCTGAGCTCAGAGAGAAGGGCATGCTGAGGGGGTCCTGATGCTCAACTTCCAATCCTCCCTTCCAGTCATCCCCTGCTACTCTTTTCCTGAGACTTCCTGGGACCTCGTAGGCAGGTCCCAGTTCACACTGTGTATGAAAGTCACATACCCTTCTTAGATCTCTAAACAGTTTTGTGGGCCATGGCTCTGCATTGTGTGAATGAAGGCTGGGATTGAAACTTCTGATTCCTGTTCATACAACTAGCCAAACAAAATCAACACTGTGTATTCAGAAATAACAATAACAAAATCAATCAACAAGACACCCCCCTCTTCTCCCTCTCTCTCCCTCCCCCAGAAAGGTTTATTATGCCTTATAGTTCCAAAGGCTATCTTCCACCAAAGCGGGAACACACAAGAGCAAGAGCATGAAACCAGACAGTCTCAATGTGGAAGCAGAGAATGAACAGGAAGTAGAACCCAGCAGGCGGTCACACATAAAGCAAAGTCTTGAAAGTAAGAGAACAACTTATTGGAAAGGAGAAGGGTTTCACCAGGATAGGGCAAGGGGTGGGGAATGAAAAGAACTAAAATCCATTATCTACACATAAAACTATTAAAAGAATTCCCCAAGGCCTACCCCATGGGGCCCACTTCCACCAGTAATATTGTACCTCTTAAAGGTGCCACATCCATCACAGACAGTGTGACCAGCTGGGAACTAAGTATTCAAACATATGAGCCTATGGGCATTTCACATTGAAGAAGTAACAGTGCCTAAAGTCTGCGATGTGAAAAACATGCACTCTTTCTAGTCACAGTGGAGTCGTGGGATAAATTTTTTTGTTTTTTGTTTTTTGTTTTTTGTTTTTTGTTTTTCCAGACAGGGTTTCTCTGTGTAGCTTTGCACCTTTCCTGGATCTCACTCTGTGGACCAGGCTGGCCTCGAACTCACAAAGATCTGCCTGGCTGTGCCTCCCCAGTGCTGGGATTAAAGGCATGCACCACCACCGCCCAGCAAGGATAAATTCTTGATTGGCAACTCAAGCTAGAAGAACATTGGCAGATTTCAAACCCGATGCATTTTTCGAAGAAGCCTTGAGATTAAGTATCAAACTGAGGTGTTCTGAAGCAAGGGTTGCATCAAACAGCTAGCAGCAAGTCCTCCACTAATGCAAGCAAGAGAAGCAAGAAAACCATGGTCACATTCACACATGGATGCATTCTTAGAGAGATGCCTGAAGGATCGTGCAGGGTTCAGGACTGTGCTGTTGGTTGCCAGTCAAGCAAGAAGCAGACATTTTAAGTCAACATTTAGAAGTTGGTTGTAACATGACATTGCCAAACCAGCTTATTTATGTTTAAATTAAAGCACTGATATAAATGTTTGGTTTGGTTTTTTGTTGTTGTTGTTGTTGTTTGTTTGTTTTGTTTTGTTTTTGTAAACTGGCCCTTTGACATAAATAATTTAAGAAATGCAAATTTAAGACGGGCGGTGGTGGTGCACGTCTTTAATCCCAGCACTCGGGAGGCAGAGGCAGGCGGATCTCTGTGAGTTCGAGGCCAGCCTGGGCTATCAAGTGAGTTCCAGGAGAGGCACAAAGCTACACAGAGAAACCCTGTCTCAAACCCCCCCCCCAAAAAAATGCAAATTTAGAGGCTCTGCCCATCCTGGCCCAGTCTATATTCCACATCCTTTTGTGTTTCCTGGTGGCTAATCCAGGCTGGCATTGTTTCTTTGGGGTGGTGGCTGTCATGGTCTCCTGCAGACAATTCTTTCTGACTGAACACTTCTTCATGTTCAGTCCTGAGCCCCGCCAGACGGTATCACAGGGCGACTTGCTCCCTCCAGTGTGGTCCGTTGACAATTCCTTGTTGACGCACTGTGACAATTATCTGTCTAGTTGGGAACATATGCATTTGTCTCTGCTCCGAGGGCTTCAATATTGAAAAACTAAGAGTGCTGAAGCACTGCCATATACCAGGCACTGGTGTTAAATATTAAATATATTAAATGTACATGTCATACATTTAATTATTAATAATACTGTGAGGCAGGTATTAGCAGACCCACACAACAATGAGGAGAGAGCCTTGGGAGACATTAAAAACCCTACCCTGCTAATAACTGGGAATTTGATCCTGGGTCTGTTTTAACTCAAGCCTATGAACTTGAGTAGCCACGAGTTTGCCCTCTGTGACTTGTTGCTTGTTCCAGAGCAAAGGAGTTCCATGCTCAGTTCCCTTCCACCCTCCTTACAGAAGATTATCATTATGGATATCATTCAAATAATGGAAAGAGAAGGGATATCTGAATGGGTGCCATGCTGAAAAGCAAATAGTTCCTCTCCAAGGGGCAGAGATATGAATGGAGAAACTGTCCGTCACTAGCTGCCCAAGAAGCCCTTGTATATAATTTATGCTTTCCTATTTGATGTCCAGTGTCTGGACTACGAGGCTGCAGAAGGTTAGTGCTACCCCAGGAAATCTGAACATAGCTGCTGGAGCTGCACACCAAGGTGGAGGGGCTCCAGGGAGGCCACCAGCTGCTCTGGGCTCTCTGGGTTTCTCCCAATCTCCAAGGCAGCCAGGTGAGTGCAGAAGAACTGAGGTCCATCTTGTAAAGAACGCTGCCTCCGCTGAGCACTCTCGGCCAAGCACACTCACCACCTGGCTTCGCCTTGCATCTCTTTACCTGGTCTGCCTCTGGATAAAGCCCTGCCTCTGACAGGGGCTTTGGGAATGTCTTAGGGCAAAGGAGCTGCTGTGAAAAAAAACAAACACCATGTGTATAACTTAGTCCACACATCAGCCATAAGAGGTGGACAACATAATTTCAGACAAGAAAACCAAGGTTTGGTGAGATTACACAAAGCCAGGATTCAAATCCAGCTGAATCTGAATGTTCTGTGGTTAGATTCCTGAGGGAGGTTCCATTTATTTGATTGAGACACTTTTCTATGCTCCTCATTTCTGTCATGAACTAGCTACCATAATTTTTCTACTGATGGGTGAAATACAGATGCCATAGGGAAGGGCAAATGAATCTGCAATAAGGCTGAGGTAGGCACCACCTCCCTACCAGGGAGGCCCGGGCTTTGCTATTACAGCGAGTGGTGACAGGAACTCTCAGCCAGCTGTCTCTAACCTATTGCAAATGTTCCCAGAGTCTGCTAAGGTTTCAGAGTTCAGCTTTCACCCAGTTTCATGGCCATGACCAATAGCTAACATCTTAGAATAGGGTTGACAAGGTTTTCATTGATTGTGTTTTTTCTGCAACAGCATTTGTTACCCATGCCTCCTACAGAATAGAAAACTCCAGGTCTAC